AAAAAAAAAAAGATATCAAGGAAAGGACTGGCGTGTTTCTGACTGGAAACTCAGGTGATGTTCAGGAATCTCCTGAGGATTCTGCTAGGGGGAGGTAGGCACATAGGGCCAGCGCCTTTGGTCTGGAATTCTCCGGTGTCACGCTCTTTGTTAGAAACCCAGAAGCCTACAAGCAAGAGAAAGGAGTGTTGGCTGTCATCCCCAGGTCATGACGTTGCTAGGGATTTGCCCCAGCATGTGAGGGGGGCGAGGTGCACGTGTCTGCTCTTCTCCCCAACCCCCCAACTTGTTCCCACAAACCTCACCAGGTGGTCACTTCCACTCAGGGCACCTTGCACCCCGGATAGTGACAAGCATCCCTAGGATTCTCATATGGCTTGGGGTCTTCTGCTAACACCAGCTCACAGAGGAGCAGGGCCTGGAAATGGGGCCAAGTATCAAGGATTGGAGCATTTTGAACCTTCTCCATTTCTGCACACCAATTGCCACTGCCTATTTCTCCTCAGAACTTAGCATGGGACTTTTGTGAAGGGCCTGGTCATGGTGGATAGACAGACAGACACGGATTCAAATCTCAGTGCTGCTTCTCACCAGCTCTGTGGCTTGTACAGGTTAACATTTTTTAAATTTTATTTTAGGGAAGGGTCTACAGGGTGTTCAGAGTCTCACTACTAGATGGGACTTGTAGTGATTCTCCTGTTTACAGCCTCCCAAGAGCTGGGATTACAGGCACGTGCTACCCCCCCCCCCCCCCCAGTCTCAATTGCCATCTCAGTGCATCCCAGGGGCAGGCCCGGCCTGGGGATCGAAATCCCTGCCTAAGAGATTTATTTGGCTGTCCCTAAAGGGTGTTTGTTTTTTTTTTTTTTCCTGGCTGGCTCAGGCTGCCTTAACGGTGGGTGTGGTGTGGCATGTGGCACTGGGGATGAAACCGATATCCTGAACGCATGACTGGGTTTGTCTGGACAGGGACTTAAACAGCTGTGCTAACTGGCAAGCCCCCCTAACTTCTGACTTTCTGGAAAATGGGAAAAATGCAGCCCAGCAATGTTATAGTTCGTAGCTCTTTCAAGGCTGGTGGATTTGATGTCGGCATGAAGGAAGAGGCTGAATGATCGTGTCCAACAGTTAGAGTGAAAGGTGGCAGATTGTTCTGCCTCTGTCACTGTTACCAGTGGCAGCCATTCCTCCACACACCCATCAAAGAGAGCTCGGTGAAAACTTAATCAGCCTGTGTGGTACCCTGCTCAAAGCCTCTAGGAGTTCCCATTACTCTTAGAAAAAAATCCTAACTCCACAACATCCCCTGCAGCCTCATCCTTTCTTCCTGCTTCTCAGGGGTCATCTGAGCCACACAGGCCTTGGTTTTTGTCCCTTGGCCACCATGAGCTCATGTCTGCCACAGGGCCTTCTGCACCTATTGTCCCCTCCAGAGCTCCCATGGCTTGCCCACCTCATGCCATTGGACCTGCTGGGCTGTCACCTCCCAAGGCAAGGTGGCCTTCAGTGAACCCCCCAGAACACAGTCCTCTTCTCTCTTCCACCCATCCCCCAGGCCCACCTGGGTGCTGGGCACTGCACACGGCATCCTGTGATTCTTCAGCTATTTATTTATTTATTGCTTGCCTGGGATTTATCTTGTTCTCTGCTGGATCCCCAGTGCCTAAAACAATGTATATATGTAATACTCAGCAAATATTTTATTTGCTATGTGAATTGTTAACATTCTAATAAATGTCTTTCCAGGCTCTTTGGTCTTTTTTGTTTGTTTTGAAGCAGGGTCTTTCTTTATAGTGTAGGCTGGCTTTGGACTCACTCTGCAGCCCAGGCTGGCCGTAAGCTTGCCTCAGCCTCCCCAGTCTAGGCATCATAGGCATGTGCTACAAATGTACTACACCTGTCACCTCAGATTTTATCCGAAACGTTTTGAAAGCTATTAATGCTCTATAAACTTTTTTTTTTTTTGGTGGTACTGGGGATCGAACTTGGAATCTTACGTGCTTGCACTAAGCTGCTGAGCTAGCTTCCTGTCAACAAACTTTTTTAATCCTGTACTGGGGATTGTACCCAGGAGCTCACACGTGCTGGGCAAGTGCTGACTCGGAGCTATCTCCCAGCCCAGTAACCACCTCAATAGTGGTCTCTTAGTCCTTTGGGTGAAGATTCCAGTATCTTTTCCTTGGATATTAACTAATTCACAATCTTTTCCCACATTTAGTAAATATTCTTTTTTTTGGGGGGTCGGCAGAACCGGGGATTGAACTCAGGTCCTTGCGCTTGCCAGGGAAGCACTTATTCTACTGAGCTAATCTCCCTGGCCAATTAAATATTCTATAAGAGATATCTTTGTGCCTAATGTTTTTCTTTATGCCTAATGTTGATCTTTTTCTTGGGGTGGGTCCTTAAAACTGGAGTTAATGGGCAAAGGACGTGAGTGTCTTAAGTTTTTGGGGCACCGTGAGTTTCACATGCTGTGTAACATGGCAATACCCTCTGTTTCTTTCTTTCCTTGTCAGTCTCACCCAGCCTGCAAAAGCCCTCCACTGACATCAAACCTCTTCAACATTTATGGGAAGAGCCCTCTGGTTGTGTACTTCCTTCACAACTACTCCAGGCTGTACCAGCATGGTCAGGATGTGTTGATAACCAGGAGAGAAAGGACCACGGTCATCTCATATCCTTGTTGTTTGTTTGTCTATTAAGACGGGGTTTCCCTTTGTAGTTGAGACTAGCCTTAAACTCACTATGTAGTTCAAGCTGGCTTCAAACTCACAGCAATGCTCCTGCCTCAGCCTCCCCAGTGCTGGGATTACAGGTATGCATGACCTCACCTGGCTTGTCCCTGTTTTATGGAGAAGGAAATGGAGACACAGGATGATGGAGGCCTTGTCTGAGCTCCCACAGCTGGTGACCACTGTAGCTTAGATTCTAAGCCTTGTGGAAAGAGTGGAGGTGGGATGGAACAGAGAGAGACTTCTTCAACATGTAGGCCTGAGATGGAGCTTCTGAAAGCAGAGGAGAGCTGGATCCCTTTCTGTTCACCTCCGTGACACTGCAGCTGGACTGCCAGGTGACAGCAGGATGCTACCTCCCAGCTGCAGGAGCAGAGGGAGAAGGCTATGTTCTAGGCTGCAAAAGGACAGCATTGTCCTTCCCAAGCAGGCCAAGCAGCAGGGGGCTGTCACCTGCACAGAATATAGGACTCACATGCAGAAGCCCCAGAAAGACAGGCGCTGTCCTCCCTGCCCACCGCCATTCCCCAGCCCCCACACTGGGCTTAGGCTTCAAATAGGGCAGGGTCCCCACAGCCCAAGTATGGGTTCTCCTTGACCTTGGGAATCACTGAATCGACCCTGACTTATGCAGAGATCATCAGCCTGACCCTGAGCAACATGAAGAAGCGAAAGGACAACCTGGAGCAGCTCAACCGGCTCCACTGCAGCGAGTGGAGTTATTTTGACAGTCACCTTAAGGAGCTGCAGGACCACTTCCTGAGGTATGGGAGGGGCTTGTGAGAGGGGCATTTTGACTACAGCCAGCTCTCTCAGGGCCGGAATGAAAACAACTCCGAGGCCAGATCTCTCCTTTGAAAGGTTTTTTTGGTTTTTTTTTTTTTTTTTTTTTTTTGAGACAAGGTCTCGCTATGTAGCTCAGACTCAGTAATCCTCCTGTCTCAGCCTCCTGAGTACTGGGATTATAGGCATGTGCCACCATGCTCAATTTCAGGGTGGCACGGCACACTTGGGGTTCCAGGGCCGGCACAACATGTAGTGCCAGGGATCAAACTCGGGCCCTTGCACTTGCCAGGCAGGCACTTAGACCACTGAGCTGTCTCTCCAGTCCTGTGTTTTTGTTTTTGTTTTTTAAAAAATGGTGCTAGTGATCAAATGCCTGAGTTGAACCCTCAATTCCAGTAAATCCTGACTTAAAGACATACATACACTATGCATGGTGATGCACACCTGTTATTCCAGCACTTGGGAGGCTGAGGCAGGAGGATCACCTCAGCCTGAAGGCCAACCTGGGTTACACAGTGAGTTCAAGGCCAGCCAGAACTACCCTGCAAGATTCTCTCTCAAAAACAAAACAACAAAAAACCCTAAATAGGGGCTGGTGAGATGGCTCAGTGGTCTAAAGCACCAACTTGGAACAAGCTTAGCAAAGCACACAGGGACCGCTGTTCAATCCCCCAGCACCACATGCCAGCCAGCCCCGCCCCCTGGTGGGCTGAGCTGGCCACACACACACACACACACACACACACACACACACATACACACAACCCTAAATAATCCATTGAGGTGAGGGAACAGAGCAGGTAATAGAGTAAGCAAGATTGACCTCATGTGATAACTATTAAATCTAAATAATGATATATGCTATAAAATATACTAGTTTCTTTTATGTATGTTTAAAAGTTGGTGTTTTGTCTTTTTTTATGTATTTGGTAGAGGGTCTACAGGGTCTCACTACACAGATCAGACTCGCAGTAACCTTCCTGTCTTCAGCCTCCCAAGTGCTGGGATTACAGGCGCATGCCACCACGCCCAGTCTCAATGAACAGCAGGGGCAGGCCTCGCACCACAAGTGGGGGATCGAACCCCCGGGCTGCGCTCTGCCTAAGCAGGAGCTTTAGTCCACTGAGCTATCTGGCCAGCCCTGTTTTGTCTTTTATTTTTTTTTTAATATTTATTTATTTATTTATTTATTTATTTATTTATTTACTTTTGCGGTATCAGGGATTGAACTCAGGTCCTGCGCTTGCCAGGGAAGTGCTTATTCCACTGAGCCATCTCCCCAGCCCCTCTGTTTTGTCTTTTAAAAAGCAGCAATAAGAACAAAACGTGACAGATTTGACCCCCCCCATCTCTGGTCCCACATGCTGTGCCAGCCCTGCCCCTGGGGTACACTGCATCAAGACAGAGTCCAGGTGTGGTGGCCCTGGGGAGGCTGAAAACAAGAGGATTGCCACAAATCCAATCTGCATAGTGAGACCCTGTACCAAATACACACACACACACACACACACACACACACACACACACAGAACAAAAGGTGATCCACGTCATGGGGGGCGTTCCTCACAGGTGGACATGGACAGGGACACATCGTTAGGAGCATTCCTGCCGGCTCTCCCCTGCTTCCTGCATGACTTAGGCCCACTGATTAACCTGTACGGGGCTTGGGTACCTGGTCTGTAAAACAGGCACACTGCTGGTACCTGCATCGCCTGAGTGCGCGGGCCCCTCGCTCACAGGGAGCACTCAGAAAAGCTGGCTGCGGAGGGGACACAGACCCAGCAGCAAGAGGCGCAGTGGTTGGGAAGTCTGTAGCTGGGAAGCCCTTAGAGAAGGCCATCCTGCAGCTGCTCTGCCAGCTGTTCTGTCCACCGGCTCCCGCTGCAGAAAGAGCTAGCCTGCGTCACACAGGACTTAGAGAAGGAGCCAGTGGGGGATCTGTGGGCCGAGGAGCCAGAAATCAGGCGCTCTCTGCGCAACCCCACGTGAGGAGCAGTGAGTGCTCAGAACCAGGGATCTACTGTGACTCCACGCCCAAGGCTGTCATATAAGCTAAACACTCTTTTGCAGTGGAAGATAGGAGCTGAGGTCTGTGTAGGCTTCAAATCACAAGAAATGGAAACTAGGACGAGTTGGAAGCAGTGGTGTGTGCCTGCAGTCCTAGCTGAGGCAGGAGGAGCGCTAGAATCTACACCATCCTGAGGCATAGTGAGCGTGCGCTCTCTCTGTCTCTCTGTCTCTCTTTCTGTGTCTCTCTGTGTGTCTGTCTCTGTGTCTGTCTGTCCGTGTGTGTGTGTCTCTCTCTCTTTGAATTACTCGCACAAGAACAAATACAAGTTTCTTCTCTCTCTCTCTCTCTCTCTCTCTCTCTCTCTCTCTCTCTCTTGAGCAAGGCCCTTGCTAATTGCCCAGGCTGGTCTTTACTCACAGTCCTCCTGCCTCAGTTCTCTCTAGGAGCCACCGTGCCTGGCCCTGGCTTAGACTGCTGAGCTATCTCGCTGGGCCCCCAGCCCTTTAAAAAAAAAGGTGGTTTTTTTTTTTTGTTTGTTTTTTGTTTTTTTTTAACTTAGAGACAGGATCTAAGTTGCCCAGGCTAGATTCAAACTTGTGATCCTCCTGCTTCAGCCTCCCACAGTGCTAGGATTACTTAGCGTTGTGGTGACACCAGGCTTAGCTTATGACAGCGTCTTTGTTTACTTGTTTACATATCAATTGCTCTTTTGTCTGTCTTGAATACCCCTAACCTGCTTCCTTTGTGTGTGTGTGTGTGTGTGTGTGTGTGTGTGTGTGTGTGTGTGTATATGTGTGTGTGTGTAACTGAGGATTGAATTCAGGCCCTTGAGCTTGCCAGGCAAGTGCTTATTCTACTGAGCTATCTCCCCAGCCCCTAACCTGCTTCTTGATGAAGAAATGTCTACTCACATTTCAAGAGCCAGTTGACGGATCGTCCAGTCTGTCTTTCCTGTTATGCACCCTGAGCTTCACAAACACCCCACTGGGAACCTTCTCCTGTAACCACAGTAGCTGCTTGGGAGAACTTCCTGTTTCCCAGGCACCATGTTTCACACTGGATCTATGGTAACTCAGTCCTCACCACAACGCTAAGTTCAGTTATCACTATGTTAAGTAAATCAGCCAGAGAAGTTAAGTAATCTGCTCAGAGTCACACAGCACATGGCAGAGCCCCACCTTGAACTTAGCTTGCCTTCAAAGCTTTAGGTATTTTAGCCTTCTCTCAGAGCATGGGTTCCTTGTCTGTCTTTATAGTGTGAATTTACGGTCCTTACACGCAAGGAAGCCTTATCCCTCTCTGGGGTGCAGTATCAGTGAGCCAGTCCTGTCATGTGATCACCTGTGTCAGCCCAGGGCTCTTGGCTTGAATGGGGCTGCAAATATTTTCCTGAAAAGCTCACACTGACTCTTCGCTGTTTTCCATACGTTCTTCGATTTTCCCCAGGGAGGTGAAGAACACAGAGAAGAGAGCGGCGGACAGAAGGCAGGCCAGCCACACGTTCATCCTGCCCTCCTCCTCCTGCACGGAGCAGTTGTGCCAAAAGGAAAGTAGAAGAAACGTCTGCAGAGAAACTGCCTTTGTTCTCAGGTTTGTTGGAAGCCGTGGGAAAAATACAAGTGTGAACATAGGCATTCTCAGTATGGGAAAGCATGCATGCAGGGTCCTACGCGTTAGTGAATCACTCAGCCCTTCCTTCATTTGATTATTGGGTTTTGTTTGTTTGTTTATTTGTTTGATGGTTTGTTTTTGAGACAAGGTTTTGCTATGTGGTTCAAGCTGACCTTGAACTCACTATGTAGCCCAGGCTGCCCTTGGACTCAGAGTACTCCTCTTGCCTGAGTGCTGGGACCAAAGGGGTGCACCATCACACCTGGTTATCAGTGACTTTCGTACTTCCTGTGTGCCAGACGTGGGCTGGGTACTTTAGGAGCTGTGTGACTCAGAGCTCTGTGACTGAAGGTGCCGGGAAGCCTAGCGGAAGGAGAATCCAGCGTCTTCGGTAACTGCCCACAAGGCTGTTGGCCTTTTTTGACCTAAGAGCTCCATGATACTTAGATTTCTGTCTCTGTCTCTGTCTCTGTCTCTGTCTCTGTCTCTGTCTCTGTCTCTGTCTCTGTCTCTCTGTCTCTCTCTGTCTCTGTCTCTCTCTGTCTCTCTCTCTCTCTGTCTCTCTCTCTGTCTCTCTCCCTCCCTCCTTCCCTTCCTCCCTCCCCTCTCCACTTCTCTGTACACTGGATATTTTGTCCAGCTAACTGCTCCCCCAAGGCCCTGACACCCCCATGCTGCATGCTTACAGTGTCTGCCCTCTAAGGGGGCGCTATCCTGTCTCAGCCTCATGAACTTAGCTTCACAGAAGCCTGATAATGAATGGGCTGGGGCCATTTTCCTGCCCATCTGGACCAATCCTGTTGCATCGGAGAGAGTGTTATAAGTAGCCAGGTCTTTGTGTTCCTGAGGGCACAGTTGATGACATGGGGAATAAGAGGGGAGATTCCATTGATGACAAAATGCTACTTCAAAAAAAAATGTGCTACTTCACTGTATTTATAGCTCATCTAAATTTTATCCAATGCCATCCTCGCTGTTTTACTGAATAGAAACTGAGGCACAGAGAAGCCTTCACTGAAGACTTGAAGACACAAAGAGATAAACAGCAGGATGTGGTGGTGCACATTTGTGATCCCAGCATTTGGGAGGCTGAGGCAGGAGGATTGCCACAAGTTCCAGGCCGGTCTGGGCTGTATAATCCAGCCTGGGCTATATATAGTGAGTTCAGAGCCAGCCTGAACTACATAGTGAAATCCTCTCTCAAACAAAAC